AGGCTCATGGGAGAGGGCGCCAAGACGGGAACAAGAATGCGGGTTGGGAAATGGCAGGGGGAGAGGTAGTAGCGGAAGGCAGGTGGGTATGTAAAGTGGACAGAGGTTTTATACGTTTTCGTTGTCTCGAACGGTACCTTTAGCTGGTTAGCTTTTTAGGGTTTAGATTTTGGAGCTGGGGAGCCCTCAAGAGGCACCACCCTCCCGGGGGCAAAAGGGGAGGGGCCACTACAGGAATTGGCATTGGTTGAAGCAGCACCGAGACATACACACACACATACGCACACACATGTCCCATCCACGTTACGTCCTTCGTTCCACTTCACCGTCACTCCAGTGCACCACTCTCGCTGTTTCCTGCGCCATCGACCGCCTCTGAACCGAACCGGGTCGGAAAACACCACCCACTGCACCGGTTTACCAACCCACGTGATGAGGCACGTAGCCGGGCCCCTTCCCCGGCCCCTCCACACACACACACACACACACACATACATACGCAGTCAAGTTATACCTGGAGCCGGGTCGGGAGGACTGCCGAAAAGAAAACGGCCGACTTCGCGAAGGCAGACACAGCAGGCCCGTCGAATGTGGCTCAGCCTTGTACGACTCGTATACGGCATTGTCAGCGACGCCACTGCCGCTATGCAGCGAAGTAGCTTGCAGGTTTCTGGCATCGGCGGTCGCAGCTGCTGCTGCTGCGGTGGCGGCGGCGGCGGCGACGGCGGCGGGGGCGGGGGCCACAGGGGCAGCGGCACCTTCGGATGCGGGTATGAAGGCGGGCAAGGCGGGCGTGGCGTTGGGACAATCCGGCACCAGAGCTGGTAGCGGCGGCAGCGGCGGGGGCGGCGGTAGTGGCGGTCCGAAAAGATTGTTCTGCTCCGAAGCCAGGACTTCGTTGGGCCCAGCCACCAACGTTCGCGTGTCCTGCGGGTGGGTAGGTCGGTAGTTGGCTAGCCGAATAGGTAGGTAGGCAGGTAGGTAGGTAGGTAGGTAGAACTAGGTAGACAGGTAAAAAGGCAGCAGCAGTGCATGAAGAGCCTAGCCTGGGCCCTCGCGGTGACAGCGACCGCATGTCGCAACACGATACACGACACGAGGAGGCAGCAACAGCAACAACAGCAGCAACAACAGCAGCAGCGACAACACGGGAGCGGTGGATCTGC